TCTATTATTTAGAGTGTTGATGTGCTCATGGAAACTTAAAGTGGTATCCAAGATTACATGTAAGTACTTTATACTGTCAACTTTATGGATGCGCGTGCAGGTACATGCATTGTCATGACAAGTTTGGTTATTACAAGTGTGGGCTATCACCGAAAGCAGAGGCATTATAGGCATTGTTTGTTCTTTTTTTCTTAAGGAGAAGGTGATATATTTAGTTTTTTCCAAGTTTAGTGTGAGAACATTATTATGCAGCCACTTCATCACAACCTTAAAGCCTGTCTGATCCTCCGCATATACATCGTGCCAAGAATTGGCTTTAAATAGGAGGACAGTATCATCTGCAAAGGTTATAATTTTACCTTTAGAGGGAGTAATCATACCCAGCTCGTTGATGTACACAAGAAAGAGAGTAGGGCCAAGTACGCTGCCCTGTGACACGCCGTAGGTGATGTTGATGCTGATGCTGATGACGTCATCAATCTTAACGCACTGGGTACGATCACTCAGATAATTTAAGTTAAATACCCCTTATTCTCATTCTTTCCATTTTCCTAATGAGAATAGGCACAGAGACAATGTCAAAAGCTTTAGCAAGATCCAGAAAAATGCCCAAAACCTTCTGCCTACCGTCCATGTTTGTGACAACAAAGTTTGTCAGATCATGAACAGTATCAGCCGTAGATTTGCCAGCCCGAAAGCCATACTGTCAAGGTGATAGTATGTTACTCTTCTCTAAAAATTTCACAAGCCTTTCGTTTATTATTCTTTCCAGTATTTTCGATAGGGCAGGAAGCACAGTTATAGGTCTCTAGTTGTTGACACTGTCTCTGTCCCCACTTTTATAGACAGGGTGTATTAATGCTCTTTTAAACGGTTTTGGAAACTGGCCCCATGCAAGTGCGAAGTTACAGATGTAAGTAATGGGTGGAACTACTACATTTAAATGTTTTTTTAGTAGACCACTAGTAATTCTGTCCCATCCCATAGCACAATCGTTACGCAGGGATATAATCAACTGAGCAACTTCCTATTCATCCGTCGGTAAAAACGCCTTAGATTGGGAGTTTATATTGTTAGTAGTGTGGGATGCGTCACTAGTTGACCCATTCACTATGTTCTCAGCAAGATTCTTACCGATATCTGCGAAAAATTTATTGACTATGTGAACACATTGAAGCGGATTGTCTGACATATGTAACAAATGTGATGTTATGTCTTTCTTTTTTACTCTGTTTGTTATCGAGTCTATAGCCGTCCAGAGCTGTTTAGCATTATTACCAGCAGCATTACTTAATTCCTTCTTCTCAAAATCTAATCTTATCTTTCTCAAAAGCTTGTTACAGTAATTTCTGTATCTAGTAAAGGATGTTCTTAAGATTTCATTATTAGGCGATTTTTCAACTTTTTGTGTAGGTTGTCTCTATGCCGGATACATCGAAGAAGGCCCGGAGCAAGCCACGGCTTGGTAATTTTCTTACGGTTAGGTATTTTAACAGTTTTTGAATTTGACTCGATAACTTGGGTAATGAGGCTGATCAATAGATCCGCTGCTACGTGAGGATTTTGAATGTGATACACTTGTTCAAAATTAAGTTGCATTAAATCTAAATGTAACTGATCATAATTAATGCGGACACTAACTTTTTTTTGTAGCATTTTTAGAAATTTTCATGTGTAGGAATAATAAGACTGTTTCATGATCGGTCAGTACTGAGTAGGCCACATAAGTGAAGGCCGGTAAAGTTGTTTTTGTGACAAAGTGATCGAGGCAAGCCTGAAGTCGCGTGGGCAATATATGTGTAGGTAGTAGGCCATGTGAAGCTAATAAATTTAGGTAACTATGTTTGACATTGATCATGAATGTTTATATTAATGTCACCAGTAAAAATAATATTTTTATATTGTTTAATGTTCAATAAGATTATGTTGAGTGAATTAAGAAATTTGGAAAAATCCCTATTGTTGTTAGTCTTAAAATTATTATAGCCTGGAAGGTATGGAATGGTTGAGTAATAGAAAGCCAACACTAGGAGAGCGCGATTATGTCCCATTCTACATTCGTTCTTGCGAGTACGGTATACAATCCTGTCATATTTTTTGATATACTTCTAATATTTTGGTTAAGTATTTTGAGTGATTGACAAGGATTGAAATTTGGCGGAATGCAGTTATCTAAGTCACAGGTGAACGAGTCCGATACAGATACGGAGTCGATGTTGTTTATATTATTTTGTGTGTCATCGAATTATATATTTTTTTAAACCTCGTTATTAACACCACTGTAGTGGCGGATGAGAGTAAGAAGACGCAGTGATCCAGAGCTAAAATTTAATAAATTAGTTCTTGTAATGCATGTAATTCTGTCAACTTTAATTAGCATACGCAGTATATAATTAAATGTGTAAACTCCCTCGATAAATGCGTATGTGTTAATAAATCAAAATATAAGTAGTGTATATAGATGTGTATAAACTTTGGTCACAGTGATAAATGTAAGTTTGTAATATTTTTGCAAGTTTTTGTAAATGAGTAGGTTAGTAATCGTTTTTAGTGTTGTTACAGAGTTTCTTAAGAGATTTATTAGAACATTTTTAAACAATGTGTGTGTGTATGACTTTAATTTCTAAGTTACGTACATTCGTGAATCTCTAATAGCAATACTCTCGCTCGGGACGTATATTTGGTAGCCGATGAATATTTTAACGCACGCACTTATAATCTCATTTCATTTCTCAAAGTCTGTCCGTGAGTAAATACGTTCGAGGTTCGATTGTGTAAATTACTATAGACACTCTCATATCACTATGTCAACTCACTATTAACATTAAAAATGCCATAGTTTTGTTTCGTAGTAACAGATGAAGAGAAAAAATGCTTTGAATAGATACTGTGTTCTAAGTAGAGAAGGTAGTTAGTTACTCTTCATTCTGAGTGTGAAACAAGTCGGTAGGGCAAAATTAAGTTTAATCACAATACTGTACTACAAGTACTACGGTATAAAATCACTAACAGTACTCACCGTCCTTGTTCATGCCCATCGCCAGACATTTCTTGAGTCTGCACGCCTGGCATTGGTTCCTGTGGGCTTTATCCACCACGCAACGGCCCGTATTGGCTTGACATCTGAAACAATTGAATGAAATTGATGTTTCACTCAATATTGTCGCAATGGAATCTTTTTTTACGATACTAAGTGACGGAAAAGTGGTAAGCGACCCGCCTATCTTTTCTGCCCTTCTTGTCGTAACTAACGCACTTTTATTTCGGTAGCTTTTCGATAAAGTTTTATTGTCACCTAAAAAAATGTCTATTACAGCGATGTTACTTAATAATAAAACTGAAACTAAATAACATATTAAAAAACCGATCAGAGGGAGTCGTAGGCAGATCTCGTTTCGCTGATGATGGTCCCAGATGTGTGAATAACCCAATTGTAGATAACGTTAGTTAAGATAAGGAGCGCAGCATCGCAGTTGCATTGCCACTAGGCTGCTAACAGATTGACTACATGTTTCTGTTGTAATCAACTTCA